TTAATGTCCTAAAAAAAAATCCCAGAGCTGTCTCACTTTACCCCTATGATTTGTTACCAACCTCAATTCAATCAAACAAAAATCGTGATCCTGTAAACATTCTAGAAGAATGGAAATGAAGTAGTTAAGTGTGCAGCTTGACTTGACTTAGAGGTGGAAGAGGGGCTTTTATTGAAGCAGCTCTAAAAGACATTAGACTGTAGTCTTGGAAATCCTCGCACTTTCTTTTCTTTTGATTTTTATGTGAGCAAAGTTATTGTGAATATTTCTTCATGGTAGAGTTAATTTTCTTGATGAGCGCTGGAGTCTGAGCTGTTGTGCTGGTCTGACTTAGAGGCGAGCAGCCTCTTTGCAAAGCTGTCCACTCACTTCATTCAGGCTGACATTGAACTCACTCGTATGAGGTGCCAGGACGTGTGGGGGCACATCCCAGCAGTGTTTGTAGTACAGGTAGGTGGATCACTCTGATTCTTTCCCATGAATTGTGGTAGAACTAGTCTGTCCTTCCCAGCAAACAGGGAATTGTTGGAAGAAACTGAAGGACTGATGTCAGCACTTGAGTGTGTTGGGTGTACACTGCCAAGTGAGTTACCTGCCCACGTGAATGTGGAACCTGGGCTGTAACCAGCACTTTGACCTGGACCAGTTGGCCCAGATTGAAAGCACCACCACGCTTGGGTGAGAGATTTTTGTGTGTGAACAGAAGGGAAGAAAGATCTTAAGCCAACGCTTCAGTGAAGAGAAACCTTGATTTTTTTCCCAAAAGAAGCACAGTATATGTTACATATATGTTCATTCTGTGCCATAATCTGGTGTGCTGGATCTGACTGCTCCAAACAATTTCATTGGGACTAAAATCTGCAGGCTTCCAAGTCATGGAGAAGAAAACAAAGAGCTGACTATGGGGTGTTTTTTTTTTTTTAAAAAAGCTATTGGAGAAACTGAACAAAGGTCAAGGGAATTGGTTTGAAATGTTCTAAAATCTTAATGTGAATTTGTGTGGCCATGTATATACAGGCAGTCCCCGAGTTACGTACAAGATAGGGACTGTAGGTTTGTTCTTAAGTTGAATTTGTATGTAAGTTGGAACTGGCACATATAGTATGGGAAACTATAGCCAAACATTTCTCCAGAGCTCAGTTTTATTCTCCCACACCTCACTTCCCTCAGTCCTTTATTCTCAAGCTGAGGTGTCTGCTGAGAAAAGCCGCTCCGCGTCTCCCTGGTCTGCTGGGGGGAAGCAGCTAGTGTGGGGTTGCCTCACCCCGTTTGTAAGTAGGGATCCGATGTAAGTCGGATCCATGTAACCCGGGGACTGCCTGCATTCTGACAAATGAAATGGTCCTGTTTATGAAATCTTGAGGACTTTCCTTTGTCACACAGCTTTCCTTACCTGGTTTTGCTTGAATAATTGCGTTTTGTTTAAAAGGCGAACCAGAGGGAGAAGGAAATGAGATGATTCTAGCAACTAATGAGCGATCTGTTTCAGCCTGAAGGGTTGGTCAAGCAGGGTGGTCAGTACCTTGGAACTTATTAACCTTGGGAAAATATTGTCTGTGGGGGAAAGAAGATGATTTAACAATTTTTAAGGATTCTTTATTCTCTTTGTACAAGTACTGTTGGAGTTGCTTTTTCGAGTTTCTAATTGCACCTTACTATGCAGCTTGGCCAGATAACCTGCCAAAGGTGCAACTTAGCATTTTCTTCTAAAGTAAGATTAGGTTTCTTTTCTTCTTGACAGATAAATCATTCCTCCATGCTGTGTGTTCTTGTCTAGAGAAATGTCATCCATTCTCTCTAAACACCCATGCAGAGTGTAAGTTGAAAGTAGAAAAATTCCTTTTTAAAGAGGGATTGGCCAATATTTGTGGCGTTGTGATGCATTTCTGTCCGCAGTTACAGCATTGTATTAAACACTCATTTTGAGTCTGTAAACATCCTTTAACGGAAAAATATGACCTGGAATTTCCTGACTTTATAAAATAGATAAATAAAATAAATGTTGCCAAGAATAACTTAATCTGCAAATATTTCTTAAGTGTGCTTACATGTCAGTTTTTGCTTCAAGCATGGGTGGTCAGGTCCTGTTCTAGCATGTGGACACCGTACAGTGACATCTTGTGCCTCTGGGTGCTTAGAGCCTTAGTTTTCCCTTGTTGACACAATGTTTTTCCTGGGTTTCTTATCCACCTGTTTAAGGTGTTGGCCCTGTATGTTGCTCCTGTAGGTACATAATAGTGTTAATCCTAAATCCTTTTACCCGTTCAGAAGAGCAAAGTTGTTTTCTCTTACCAGTGGCAAAAGGACAGAATCCTCTGATTATACTCTTCCTGGCCCACCATCTGACGTCCATATGTTTCTTCTTTTTTAGGATTAACTCTGAGCAGGTAACATGTTTTTACATGTCTTTGTTTACACAATTTCCTAAGGAGTCATGTGTTACTGTTTTAAAACTGAATTTCCCAGCCTAGATGGTTCCTTTAATGTGATTTGTGTTAGGGTTTTTTTTTTTTTTTTAAATCAGGTTTTGGCAACCAGTGTAGACAGGGAAACTGTGTTTTAAAAACATATCAGTTGGTTGCTGCTCTCTAAATCCAGCCTTTCATAAAAACAATTTGCCTGCAAGAAATATGCTCCTAGTACAAAATAACAACAACAAAAATAAACCCCCCAAAGAAATCAATCCTCTGTTCTCTTTTTCTGCTACTGCATACAATTGCTGTCTCCTCACAATCCCTGCACCTAACGGAATCTCTTCTTCTGTGATCATAGTAAGAGTTACTAGGGGACTCCGCTCACCAACCTCCCCTCTGGCTGACTGCCTGTTAATCTTGCACTGAGTCTATTGGTGCTCTGCATGGCCCCAAGTCACTGGCACTCTTCTCAACTCCTGCCCACCACACCCCTGGATGGGCCCCTCTGTCCAAACACTCTCAACCAATCCCACCCACCCTTCAGTCACCAGCCAGTGCCCCCTGCCTGCACCGTCCCCACTCCTGCCCTACCCGCCAATAAAATAGTTTATGGCCCATAGCCCACCCCCTTCCTTCCATCCCTAGCCCCACCTCCTTCCTCCATTCCTACCCCCACCATCCTCCTTAACCCCCTCCCCATCTCCTTCCTTCCATCCCTAACCCACCTCCATTCCTACACCCACCTGTACACCCACCTCCATTCCTACACCCACCCTAACCCCTCTCCCCCACATTGCCTATCCCTACCCATACCACCTTGCTCCATATTCCTACACCCCCATCCTTCCCTAACTCCTCCCCCTCTGCATCCCCATACTGCCCATTCCCCTGCCTCCTTTCCTTTATTCCCCTCACCCCCACCATCCCTCCTTACTGTACCACCCATCCCTACATGCACCCTTCTCCCTTTTCCTCCCACCCTACACTCTAGGCAGGGGTGGCCTGTCCATTTAAGTGAACTAGGTGGTTGTCTAGGGTGCCAAGTTAAATGGAGTGCCAAATGATGGCGCAATATCATTGAGGGGTTTGGAGGAGGGGGCACCGATTGCATGGTTCACCTAGGGTGCCAGTTGCTGGCAGCTAGTCTAGGGCTGCCCCTGACTCTAGGGATGTTAAATTTAGATTAATCGGCTAATCGAATAGTTGATGCAATTTGTATTGACTATTTGATTAGTGAATAAGGGCACCTCCTCCTTGTAAGTGCAGCAACAGCCCCAGGGCTGTTGCTATACTTCAAAGGCAAAAGTGCTGTGGGGAGCACGGGGCCCTCAGGGGACTCAAATAGTCCCCTGTTTGCCCCATTTGAAATGTACAAGAGTCCCAGCGGGGTCTCTTCTGCATTTCAAAATTGGAATTCCACACAACTGACTCTGGGCTCCACGTGGGCGCTTCTACTTTGAAATGCACAAGAGACTCCCCAGCTGATCCCAGGCTCTGCACGGCATTTCAAGCGGCAGCACCGCACAAAGCCCAGGATCAGCTGTGTGGTGCTGCTGCTTTGAAGTACCCCTTCAAAGGTACCCTCCCCTTTGCAGCCTCTATCTGATAGCATTTGCTTATCGGATAGTCGACTAGTCTTTCAGATCCCTACTGCACGCACCCTCCCTCAAACAAGCAACCTAACCAGCAAAGACACTGCGCCAGGCCCCTGTGAATGCTGCTGGGCCTCCCCTCTGTAATTTCTCAGGTTGCTGGACTGCAGCAGCAGTTGTTTTCACTGGGGCAGCTTGGCGTTGGTGCAGCCACTTGGGGCATGGCGGAGGACGGGGTGGTGGGTGGCTGGGGATGCAGAGCCTGCTTTCATTCCCGATGTGAATGGGCACCTGGGGTTTCCCCTCCGAGCAGTGGTATGGCACTGCTGCAGCCCCATTTCCTGCGGCGGGCTTATCCAGAGCGGCATCCAGGTCCTGGATGGAATCTCTCCCTGCCCCCGGACACTGTTCAGGGATGGGCAAAGCTGCCTGGCAGCTCTGGCTGCAGCCTTTCGGGAGGCGGAACCTGCCCAAGCTGGGCTGCCAGGTGACTTTGCCGGTCCTTGAACAGTGTCTGGAGCAGGGAGGCCATGGGAGGGCGGAGGCTGCAGGACACAGAGTGACGTGATGATGTCACTCTGTCATCCCGCAGGAGAAACTTTTTTATGTATAGAGATTTTCTATGATTTTCTACTAGGCCATACATAGTCTAATTTCCCTGATTATTTTTTATGCTGATAGGTTATAGGCAATTCATGTAGAATTTCCTCAAATGTCTCGTGGTCTGAGGGAAGAGATGCTGAAAAGAATAATATCAAATTACACTATCGAATTATGTTTGAGAGGTTTTTAGGAAAAAGCAGAAGCAAAACCTAGAAACTGTGTTTCATAGACAATATGTATTATTACCCAAAAGAACATGGCTTCAGAGAAAGAGAGTTCCATCTCTTCTTGAAAACTTCATTTTTTTTTCTTGACTAGTATATAGTTCCAAATGATTAGAGTATAGGTTTGAATATAATCCGTATCCTTTCCTTTCCTTTTTTAAATATAGGTTCATGTATTGGACAGATTGGGGAGAAGTGCCAAAGATAGAACGTGCTGGCATGGATGGTTCAAGCCGCTCTGTTATAATAAACACAGACATTTATTGGCCAAATGGATTGACTTTGGATTATGAAGAATGGAAGCTTTATTGGGCAGATGCTAAACTGAACTTCATCCACAAATCAAACCTGGATGGAACTGATCGGTAAGAAATTTTCATGTGACCTATGTAAAAAATGCAATGTTTTTTCTAATAGACTCTGTTTAATAAATACATAAGCTCTATAGCAGTTGATTCAAACCAGTCAAACTTCTATGTTAGCACTTATGAATCTCCAAAAAACCCTCAAACAACTGGGATTTTAATGGGTACTCAAATTTGGGTATGATGGGACCCCCGAGTCTCACTGTTAATTTCCCTGGCTTTCCTAAGTGGATTTTCTATTCCTGCTTTCTGTAAGAATTTTCTTATTAATGACAGTATTGTCATCTCTTGCAATTTTATTTCAAACCTCACACAGTTTGGTCTGTTACTGACATCAGGTAAATCTGGCGGAATCTCTATTTGCATTTTTCTGAAAAAAAAACAAACATTTCTAGCCCTTTTGGTTGTATCTCTAAGGGTATGTCTACACTATAGGGTTTGCAGCTCCGCAAACTAGAAGCTGGATAGGAGCTACCCTTGTAGCTAAGAAGTCTAATGGCATATTAGGTTGCATTAGGAGGAGCATTGCCAGCAGATCAAGAGAAGTGATTATTCCCCTTTATTTGGCAACGGTGAGGCCACATCTGGAGTATTGTGTCCAGTTCTGGGTCCCCCACTACAGAAGAGATGTGGACCCTTTAGCGAAAGTCCAGTAGAGGGCAACCAAAATGATTAGCGAGCTGGAGCACATGACTTACGAGGAGAGGCTGAGGGATTTGGGCTTATTTAGTCTGAAGATGAGAAGAGTGAGGGGGGATTTGATAGCAGCCTTCAACTACTTGAAGGAGAGTTCCAAAGAGGAGGGAGAGAGGCTGTTCTCAGTGGTGACAGATGGCAGAACAAGGAGCAATGGTCTTAAGTTGCCATTTGGAAGTTCTAGGTTGGATATTGGGAAAAACTATTTCACTAGAAGGGTGGGGAACCACTGGAATGAGTTCCCTAGAGTGGTGGTGGAATCTCCACCCCTAGAGGTTTTTAAGTCCCACCTTGACAAAGCCTTAGTTGGGATTGGTCCTGCTTTTAGCAAGGGATTGGACTCAGATTAGCTCCTGGGGTCTCTTCCAACACTATGATTCTAAGATTGGTGCATTCAAGGCTACCTTTCAAGTATTGGCCTTCTTGATAGCCATATGAATGCACTCTTATTTGGATTACAAGGTGTTGCTTTTCTTTATCAAATGAGATCGTCTGTGCATGAATATTCTCCATGTAAATGAATAACATGTAGCTTATTTCTGAGCTGTTATATGGAAATATTTAATAATTCATATTGTCCAACATTAAGTCTCCAAGTTTTCTTTTGCAACCTTTTTGGATTGCTTTTAATTAGTTTATTTATCTGTAAGAAGTTCTTTGTTACTTTGTCTTCAGGCATCCTACTGCCTTAGCAGTTGTTCCTATGTGAACATAAATTCATGATCAATTAATTGGGCCCTCTGAAGAAGCTATCTAGATCTTTAATTTTAATTTGTGGCTAGGTACATAGGCAGCATTTATGAAACACGTGCAGTGCCTTAATGTGGTATTTATTTGTAATCCATGGTTTCCTGCCATTAAGCAGAGGATAAAACCACAACATGGCTGGCTTGGCAGCACATGCCACATACATCCTGAAGGCTGCTTCTTAAGGGTCAAAAAACTTTGTTTCAATGTTGCAGCTAGAATTTTTGTAATAGCATTTCTCTGAGGGATTATGACAGCTGTATGTAATATTTTTTTAAAGTGGCATAGATAATTTAAGGCTGGGCATAAGGTTTGTAGTTTAACTGCATTTTGGAATGGCTCTGGAATTGTTGACTGGAAAAAAGAAAACTTAAGCAGAGACAAAAAAATCATAGGAGGTTGTTGATACTGCTGAGGGAGGCAGGAAGAAATCTGGTGCTGTGGGGGAGGGTAGCAAGGGGATAGGGATGGGAGACGTTTGGTGCCCTGGGGAGAGGGCAGAAAAGGGACAGGATGCAGAAGGGAATTTGGTGCCCTTGCAAGCGGGGACAAGAGGGAATGGGGAATCTGCCTTCCTCTCCAATTCCCCTTTACTGCTCAGCAAGCACCTGGGGCACATAGGCTGCTCCAGTGGGGCAGAGAAGTACTGCAACAAGGTGTGAGCTCCACATCCCTCCCAGCTTGTGCTCAGTGACTGCCAGTCCTGCTATCCCAGTTTCCTGTCCCAGTACTGGCTCCATCCAGACCTGTCCCATGAGGCACTCCCATGGTGGGGCTAGCACTGGGTCTGGATACTGGGGCAGTAGCACATGGTGTTGGCAGGAAAACAATGAGGCCAGGTTGAACACCCAGCTGGGGTCAGAAGTCCCAACCTGTAGTTTCAGGGGGCTCTGGCCCACTCAGGCCCACCCCATAGCCATGCCCCTGGTTAAAGCTCTCTTCTAGTGAAAAAGGAGAACTCTTAAATCCAGTTAAGCAATAGGTGCTTTAAAAGCTTCATCTGGACTGAAACTGACCACACGCAGTGCACAAAATCACAGCTTGCCGCCTGGCAAATTATATTCATAAGATCGATTTCTCATCCAATTTTTAAATGACCAAGGATTGTATAATTGTCAAAAGACCCAAATGATTTGATCACACTTGAAACCAGCTTGCAGTTTTTGCCCGATAGAATAAACACATAACTTGCTTTATTTTTTTAATCACCTGTTTTATGCTTTCATGTTTGGATGGAAAAATTAGGGTACTCTTATTATTAACTATACTAAAATAAGAGGACAGCAATGGTGGGAGTCATTGGGTGTGAATAGATAATTAGGGTAGTGCCTGTGGGAAAATACACATAATGTCAAGATCAGGTAAACGTTTACTGTTAAAAGTACCCCAATGATCACAATTGGTATTACCCTCTGTCCAATTCTATATGTGTCAATGTGCTTTCCTAACATGCAGACAAACTCACGTTTCCCAGTGTCTTATCTGTCATTTCCAGTCTTTCCAGCTCCACAGATACCTCACTGTTCCTGCAGGCACTTCTGCATTTTCAATATTTCTTTGCTTCAGGCTTCTTTTCAGCATCTCTCTTCCTAATGGTATCCTGTGGAACAACAAAAACACGTGAACTTTAAATTGTAAACTGAGTTCATCCTTGCCTTGCCTTTGGCTAACTTTTAAAATAATTGTTGGAATTAGGAGAAAATTAGTGTTTATTTGGGGAAAAATGATAGACAAACAAACAAAAACTGCTTTCTGAATCAGGAGTTTATAACCTGCCTTAAGCATCACTTCCAGCAGCACCTAGTTTTTCCTAGGCACATGAGGGATCCATAAACATTCAGAAAAAAGTCAGCATTTATCTTTTATGTTGTATTTTTACAAATCCATTCCTAGTGGAAAAAAAAAGAGGATCTTTTCATGTCACTGTTTTTAGTTTCTTGAATCAATATCTGAACATTAAGAGAGCAGGAATTAAAACAAGAAAAAATCTTTGAAAACATACAAACTTATGAGGCCTTCTTAAAATACAGACAGACCGACCTAAAAAGGGGTATGAATCCAATCTCCTCACTCCCTTCTGGAGGTCACTTTTTAAAATATATGCATGAACAAAACATACCAAGACATTGTAAAAGTAGCAGAAGAATGGGAGGGCAAGGACAATATCACTGTGATTGTGTGCTGTTGACTTTAAAATGTTAGCTTATTTCTAAACTACAGTAAGGACTCATAGTGTAATATGAAGGGATGTAAAGATGAAGGACATGACCCTTTAAAAATGGAACTTGTATATCATGTAACTAATTGCTGTGTAACCAGGAATCAGGCATTTTAGTAGAAATGACGTCAGTGTTCAGATCCTTAACTAGACATCACATATAATACATTTCAAATAGAATTTTTATAGTCTAATTTTTTTCCCCTTGAATGAGAACCTGTGATCTCTAAAAATGCTATTGGTTGAGTTAATATTTTACAGTACACTGGTGTTAGGGGAAAACGTTTGTTCATGTGGAAGCTAAAGAACCATTGAAACAATAAACAAAAGCAGCTGATTTGACAGAAATTGTATAGTTTGGTAATACGATGTCTTAAATCTCTGTAGATTTGGTTAGTTTTGCCAAGGAGTCAGATGAGAGTACAGAAAAGATTTGCCTTTAGCCTTTTTTGTCTTGCATAATATGAGGCAGAAGACAAAGTTACTAGCAGATAAATGTGTTGTAACAAAGAATCCACCAAGAAAGGAGTATCAAATATGAGACTTCATAGGAGAGAGAGTTTAGTAATATCACCAAATACTATTAATCGAGAAAAGAGTTTCAAGCAAGCCAAAGGAAATGGCGGTTTGGTTTGGCATGTATTTAGAAAGTAATGTATTGAAAATTGTATGTGAAAAGCCAGTGTCTCTTGCAGATAAAGATATCTATATATCTGCATAATTTCTTTGGCTTTCAAAAGGCATTTGACAGCCTGCACAGACCTCTGTTGTGGAATATTCTTTAGTCCCATAGAATCCCACCTAAAGTTGCCAATATAATTAAAATTGTGTATAGACAGGCAAAACGCTCTGTGCGGGAGAACCAGACTGCACAGTGGCTACAACTAGACATTAGCATGATACACAGCAGTGTTCTATCTATTTGACCTTCTGGTCATTATTGAATTTGTGGCAGTCTATTAGCAACATAAACACAAGTAAATCATGGGGAGATAGCAAAATAAAGATCTAGACTTGGCAGATGATATTGCACTGCTGAGTGACTCCCTTAAAGAATCTTCAAAGATAAACTGGAAAAAGAGCATGTAAACAGGGCTCAAAATTAGTAATGCTAACACACATCTCAAGACCCAGCTTGTGAAGTAGCAACATTGCATTAGAAGACAAAAATACCACAAAAGTGAAACAGTTCATCCACCTGAGCAGCGCACTGTACCAGCTAATTCAGAGAGCTAAAGAAGGAGGTGACCGCAAGGATAGGAAGGGCATCCACAGCATTAATCAAAATCATGGCACATGGAAATCAAACAGGTACCATCAGGGAAAAAACCCTTAGAAT